TTCTGCAGTTCCTTCTCTCTGAAGATAAAGCATGTAGAAGAAATTTCCACAGGAACAGACTTGGCCTTGTAGTTCATTGTAGTTCATAGCCAGTCTGGTCCACCATCCTTGTCATTAATTATTTCTTCATATCAAATATGTTTTTTCAAAATCTCAGAGGATATTAAAGACAATTGTCCTATTACATCATAGCTATAATTAAGGTATTCAGGAAAGACAAGGGAAAGTTGCAGAGAATTTGAATTAACCCCTTTCTTCCACCTTATTATTTTTAAGTTATGTAAATTGCGGTTAGTTAACATACAGTGTAATATTAGTTTCTGGTGTACAATATAGTGATTCAACACTTCCATACATTAGTTGGCGCTCATTGCAACAAGTGCCCTCTTTACTAAAATCTCCCACCTACTCCACTGTGAGTACAACCAATTTTCCAAAGATTGTCCCCTTGTTACAAATCTCATTAATGCATGATGTGTAATGGCTAAAATGCTTCTAAATCAGCAATTCATCTTTATATTTATGCTTAACTGTTTATTGTCTGGGTATTTATTGCACGTGGATGTTCAGAATTACAGAATAGGTAAATGTGTTCTTGGATACTACGTTGCTGGGATAAAATTTGGCTTGTGGGACTCAGTAGTCATATGACATCAGGGAAGTTACTTCTCTGTCCTCAACTTATTTGTGAAATGGAATGAAAATAATCTCCTGGGTTACTGAAAAATTAAGTAACATATTAAAGCTTTGCACACAAAGCTCTCAGATTAAATGTTTGGCATTAGTGGTCCATATTAGCTATTATTAGTTAAGAGTCATGGTGAAGAAATAGTAAAAGTTATTTACCACCAGTGCTTTTTTCAGGTTGACTCATTCATCTAAGACCTAATCTTACTTTGTAATACTTTGTAATATTGCAGGTGAATTTCCTGGAGGTTGTTGTTTGACTTGATATACAAGCTAGATTCTGAGTTGTCTTGGTGGTGATGGTGGTGGTGGATAGTTTACTATCAGGTTGTTTTGTTGTTGGGGTGTCCCTTCAACCTATATCAGAAATGTATAATGTGACCTGTCTCTCATTAATAAGTCTTCATCTTTCAAAAGAACAGAAGATACTAATAAATGACTTCTTTTAGACATACTACAGCTACAGCTCAAGACCACCTCTGCCTACTACACCTACCTCCTCCTCTTCCTTAAGAGCCTGATGTACTCCATCATCACCGCCTTCTGTCTGTTTAGGAGACCAGCGCCCTGTGGCAATGGGAAGAGTTCCTAACACATGGTGGCACCAAAGGTCCATTGGCTTTTGTCGCTAAAAGTGTTTGCTGAGGATCTACCTGGGCTTGCCTTCTGGTTTTGGATTATTTCAGTTCACACGTGTCTTCTTCAATTGTGTCATTATTGCAGAACAGGTTTACAAACCCCTGGGCAAACACAAACTTCCACTCTGCACCAAGAACAAATTCTGCCATGACTCAGTGGCGGGGCTTGGGGGCCATTCACAGAGGCATCAGCACTGCTCTCTCCTTAATGTCCACCAGTTCCTCCCTCTACCCAGTACCCATGCCTCTGAGTACAGCCAGCATATAGCTTCTAGTCACATCCCCCAGGGCTCTTTAACTGGATAACTGCCTGGAAGCCTATTTACACATCCAGAACCTGCCATCTTTGCTACCTGAAGCTTGTACTGTCTTACATAATAGGCACAATAAAAACAATTAAATGTCTACTTTTGCCTCTGTGTACTATCATCTGGCGCAATCCGAGAGTCCAAGATAAGGGACAGCATGACAACTTCCAATTCAGTGCTGGTTGTAATACTGATCAACTCCACATTTCTAATTCTTGCCCTGAGATAATCCTTATGATGCTTTCTTTGGGGCACTGGCCCTGGGAGAGCCATAACCAGTGAATATGCCCAGGTTATTTCCCCTTCAAAGGTCAGCAGGTTCATACTCATTTAAGACACTCTGGTGGTGACTGATGGGTGACCTCAGACCTTACAGCAGTGTTTCATGGGCACCATGTTTCCTGATTTCACAAGAACCCCATGAGAGCTGCACTAACATCAGAAAAGTAGAATGGTGGAGGTTTAAGTGCTTGGACTCTGAAACTCAAGTGCCTGGGTTTAAATCTTGGGTCTATAGCTATTTGAACTCTCTGTGCCATAATTTTCTCATTTGTAAAATGAAGATATAGGGCGCCCTGTCCCTGGAGTTGTATGGGTGAGATGATCTAATTTGGGGGTACATGCCAGTCCTCAATGCATTAGCATCTACTGTTGGCAGCTCTACTTTAGAAACAATAGATAATATACCCACACACATTAGCACACACACACCCACACACACACACACATACACAAAAGGTATGCACTAAGATTTATGTGCAATACCATAGTACCATTTGTAACAGTCCCAATCAACTCAAATGCCCAATAAGAAACTAAACAAACTAAATGATGTCGTACGATGGAGTAGTTTGCATCTACAAAAAAAATGTAGATTGTTAAAAAAAATGGAAAATTAATCAGAAAGTGTTGTTGAAGAACTATGCATGGCATGACCCTACTAAAATTGTTAGATTATACCTTCATGTGGCCAAAATCAAAACACTCTAAAAATTGAACTAAGAAATCTTCCTCCAATTATTGTCTCTACCTTCCCACCACTTAGAGATCACATTCATTTCTTGTGCATCCTTCCAGTTTTTATGTGAATATGAATTTATAGATAAAATATAAATGCACATAAACTAATTTTTTTCCTTCTAACACAAAAGTAGAGTACAATATACATTATTCTTGCACATCCTTGAGCTCTTTTTATGTCAGTATAGGACACTTAGCTGCACAGTTATTTCACTGCTGACTTCTTAAGATCAATTCCTTGTGATACACCAATGGATTATTTCCAATCTTTTAGTATTATAAAATATACTGAAATTATAATAGTTTTATGCCACTTTGGACTTCTGTACTAGTCATTTTGGTAGAAGTATTGCCAACTTACTCCAATAGATCTAGCACCATTGTGTACTTCTGCCACGACGTAGGTGGATGTCAGGACACTGCTATCAAACATCAGGATTTTGCTAATCTGACACATGAAAAATAATATCCCATCATGGTTTGAATTTTTCCCTGATGAAAATAACCATATTTTCATATATTGAGTCTGTTTACATTTCTTTTGTACAATATTTGTCCAGTCTTTTGACCATGATTTCTACTGAGTAATAATACTACCAAGTATGATATTCATTTACATGTGTGTATCTCTTCAAACGTGTGTAAAACAAAATGTTCAATGCATGGTAGGTGAGTGAACGAATATGTGATTATTTTTCTCATTTTCTATTAATCCTTTTAAAGTAGAAGTTTTATGTGTTAGAATAAAACAATGTCTCACTTAAAATTGGGAAGGATTTTTTACTTACAGTTGGCTTCAGTCAAACAGATACTCTTGAAAACCAAGTAAAGGTTCCTATGTGGAAGCAATATAAGACCCACCAGATGCAAGGAAGAGGAAATTTAATCTCGATCTACTCATTGATTCTCAGACCTCTTTAGGACAAATGCCTGGGCCTCTGCTTAGGGATCTAGAACTGTTTCAGCATGTGGAAAGCACGGAGGCACAGAGGGGAAACCAGCAAATGATGGAAAGCTGTGTGGGCTGATGTCCCTGCTGGGGCTCCTAGGCAGTGTCTCCTGTGGCTTCCAGTATCTTAGCACCTTCCTTCTCCAACCCAACCTCGGCTGCCCTGGAGATACAAATTGGGGGGAGGGTGGTGGTACAGGAGATGGCATGAGTGGCAGGAAGGTGCTGGTGTGGTGGTGGTGCTTTATTTATTTATTTATTTTTTTTTTTTTTTTTTTTCTGCCTAAGTGCCCTGTCAAATGTGGTCAAGTCATGGAAAATGCTTGAAGTCAAACAGGCCTCTGCTGGTTGGGGCTGTGCAAGCAGTGGCTTGGTTACTGTAAGATGAAATAAGGGCAATTAAACCACAGCCAGCTTTGTTCACTCCCAAAAGATCACAACTAATGGAAAGAAAATATTCATCAACACACACATGGTCTTGCTGTCAGGCTGTGCTTGAGGGGTCCCCTATTTTATACCACATTCCTCCAAGTAGGAGCCACATGAGTTGGGATCCTCTGACCAGGACTGTTGAGACACTGCACCCTCAGTCCACTCGAGATACTGTTCTGAAGGAAATAGCATGCAGACTTCCTGTAGCACTAGGTGATCCCTGACATTCCACCAGGATCTGCGCTCTTCTATGGCAGGTGTTTTACTGAGGTTCGTACTTTTTGGTCTCATTTTGTCAGCATAGGCAGGCAGGGCGACATGAGACTCCTGCCCATGAAGCTACTAGCACAGGGAGACTGTAGACTTCACAACAGCAGTTGCTTCTCTCCCCACAAGAACACAGACATACGGAGGCCCTGAGTTCAAGTGTGTAATTTAATGTCAGACTGAGTCATCTCAGTCCCACTAACGGGACAAATGACTGCAAAGTGAGGCTGAGCAAGGCTCAGTAGAAGACATGCCCATCAGGTAAGTGTGCTGGGAGTGGAGCAGAGCTGATCTGACCTGCACAAATGGCTGCTTTCCAGCCAAATGAGCACCAGTCAGTACACACAATTGAGTTTTTCCTGAAGGACACAATGAATGAGGAAAGAAAACTAAGAGACACACTGCCTTCCTATGAAGCATTAAGGTAAATATTCATGTTGGAAAGAAAGAGTTCACAATATAATTTAGTTTATTTTAATTCAAATTAGCCACACAAAGGGAAATGATGGCAATGTGGGTTCAAAATAAGAATCTCACACTATTTCAGAACCATACTTCTAAGAGAAAGATGTTACTTCATAATGAAAATACAAAAATGTCTGGTTACACTGTACATGTACTCGCATTCCCTCCCTGCCCCATTTGGTAATTCCAACACTTCAAGCCAAATGCATAATGCAAAACCAAAAAAATAAAATGAACCATTTTGACATGTTGTATTTATTACTCTGTAAAATTGTACAAAGAGCGCATAAGCGTGAGTTAAAAAACACAAGGGAAATGTCGGATGTTAAAAAAGAAATACAAAAGAAATCTGAGACATGAAACAAAAAATTCCAAACTGCGAATCAAATAAAAAGATATTTTGCTTACTAAAAAAAGTGTTATTCCAATATATTAAGAAGTCTTTTGATCGGGAATACAGCACAAGACTTTGCTCCAACTATTCATGAACAGATCAGACTTCGTCTCACTGAACACAGGATGGATCATCACATTATCTTACCAGCCACAGGCAGGTCCTCAAGGTACATGGATCTGTACAATGTCTATGAGGTATTACAATAAATAAATTCTTTATTAGCCATTCATTAAAGTCAGCAGTGGATGTCACCTTCAACTTTTAATAGGGAGACCCCAGCTCTGGTCCTTTTTTTTCCCTGCAGTGACCTTCAATGATGGATTTTCACACTTAGAAAAAGAGAACATAAAAATATTTGAGACATAGTGTTAAAAAGTAAAGTGCTGCACTTTGCCTTATACTTTTATATATATTTACATGCCTTATACATTTTATAAGAAAGTCCATGAAGATGGCCTGTTATAGATACGTAAAGACCTGGATGTGGCCACATGAGAATTTATTTTAAGGCATTTTAGAACTTTACTATTCACATGTCCTCATCTTGGCTGTGTCTCAACCACCAATGCACAAAGTAGGGCTGGAGCGTGTTGGGGCCCTGGGGGTATAGAAACAGGGTATGCTCACTGGCCCCAGGCTGCCTCTGCGGCCAGTCCCCACCTGTCCCACTTGCTTGGCAGCTCTGAGACGGCCACCACTTTCCTTCATCACTAATTAGGCAGAGCTGCTGTTACTACAATTCACTTTGTGTTTATTTGCTGGCATTTCTGAGGCTGAAGTGTTTTCCATTGAGGATCTGAAGTAACTCAACAATGTGGCTCCACTTGAGGCCCATCAGGCTACTGTTCTGACCAGAACATACCTTTCATTAAGGCATCTCCCCAGTACTTGGCAAACCCTGGTATCATACTGGGCGAGCCTGAGTCCCAGCTCTGCCACTTGTCAGCTTTGCCGCTCGGGACAAGTCACTCAGCATCCTAGTACCATGTGCTCAGGTGTAGACAGAGACTAGCAGTGCCTCCGTCTCATACGACTGCTCCCCTCAACACACTGAGTTAGGGTTTGTAATTGAACAACACCTGACATGGAGACATTCTGGACAAGTAAAGAATAATGAACTCATCCTTATTCTGTCTACGTGGATGGTAACTATACTTATGATGGGGATCACTCTGCAGTAGTGATCTGTAGTATACACATATACCGAATTCTGATGTTGTGCCCTGAAACTTTCATGTTACCAGCCAATTTTACTTCAATTAAAAAAAAAGAAGAAGAAAAAGAAATTTGAACTCTGAGGCATTTTTCACACTTGACAAATTTATACCAATGCAAAAGAATGTTAAGAGATTTTACATGAATAAACTACAACTATAAATTCAAGTGAATAGGATAAATCTGGCTTTGTATTTATACTCATATTCTTGAATTTGACCTTGAATCTACTCAAAGAAGTGATCCATATGTACCCAGTTTCTTGTTAATGTTTCTGCTTTCAAAGACTCACTTTAACAGAAGTGGTACTCATAGTTCTAAAAGTGGTTTTTCACTGTCCTGTTTCTCTTCAGCTTCTTCTTCAGATCCTAGGAAAGGGAAAGAGAAAAAGTACTGTATTCCATTAAGGAAATGAACAATTTTTTTTAATTATACTATATGGGCACCAAATTTTAAGTGGGAGATACCGATGTTTAACCTCAGTATCAAAGGTTTAGATTAAAAAACTGTAACTATCAAATAAAGTTTTACTTATTTCCTGGAGGAAGAAATATTTAAAATAGAACCTACGACTCATACTAATCTGTTAAACAGATATCAATGAGGTACTACTAAAAATATTCAGAGAGAAGAATTATCTACTGCCCTTCCCTAACCATCTCTTTGCTGACAAGCCTGAATATATTTTTTTTAAGATTTATTTATTCATGAGAGACAAAGAGAGAGGCAGAGACACAGACAGAGAAACAGGCTTCATGCAGGGAGCCCGATATGGAACTCGATCCCAGGACTCCAGGACCACGCCCCAGGCCAAAGGCAGGTGCTTAAATCGCTGAGCCACCTAGGGATTCCCAAGCCTGAATATTTATCAAGTGCAAATAACTTTAACCTTTGGTACAAATCATTCAATCTACATATTTTTACAAATCACTGTACCCAGTGAGTAGGCATGGTGAAGACTTCCTAATGCTGAGGGTGATGGCACTGTAGGCTGTTACCAGTGAGCACTGGTATCACTGTGCTGGGTCCTGTCTTGTGAACCTTATGTTATTTATACATTTGAGCCCACAATTTCACTCTGGAATTATTTCTTTAGGAAATATGTCTGACAAAATTGCTAAAAATCAGGGGAAAAAATCTAGATGTCTGAGGGTAAAAGTTAAAAAATTATTTTACTTTCATAAAGTATCTTGTACCCCCTTACATTTATATAGTTCATTACAGCATTAGAAGTGCACATTTTATAAAGTAAAAGCATATACATAATGAAAAATTAGGATCGTAATTACATAGGATCATAATTACAAAAATAAAAACCTAAGTATATATGCACCAATCAGAAAGCCTATAAGAAAATAACCAGATGGCCTGAATCATTTCTGGATGTTCCAAAATATGTGCAACAAACTGACTTCATAATTTTAAAATTATAATTTTTTCAAAAAGGTTGTATAAATACCAGCAGCATGGCCACAATGATGTGAAATTACAAACACAAAACCAGCAGGAGACAAACTGAACTGTCAACACAGATGTGGCTGTAGAGTTGGAAGGACAAGATCTTCGATTGCTCTTCTGTGCACGTTTTTTTGCTTTTTTGTTTGTTTGATTTTTGTGCACATTTTTATAAAAGGCAAGTGTTACTGTCAGGGAAGGGACACAAAACAGGAGTGGTGGGAAGACAAGGGAGTGGGTGAGGGATGAAGCCTCCTCACACAGAGGAGGCAGCCTGCCTCATAGCTGCTTTCCTCTGGCCAGATAATATGCCTCAAAGAAGACATTTTGTTCTTCTGAGAATGTCTGCCTGCATTACAGGCAATAACAAATTTGGTACAGGAGTATGAACAGCAGAGAACCTTAAGAAAAGATCGTGCCCCACATCTTAACCTCATAAATATCAGACGGCTCAGGTTAAGTTTGTGGTAACATAAATAGATAAATGTACAGTGGTTGGAGGGTTTCACTATCCAGTGTGTTAAATTGCTGTAAATCATAGTCACACTGGGGCGGGTGACTGCGTTCTCACTTTGAAATGAGTCTAAGGCAGATGATCATACCACATCTTCCTGTTTCTGGGCTTACGTTCCACCCCACTTGTCAGGCTAATGGCATTTGAACCACAAAGAGCTGACATGTCTTGAAATTATTTGGGAGTTCTAAATAAAGTCAAACTTTTAATTAAAACATAATAATAGGTATGTTTTACATAATTTAAAAGTACATGCTAGCAGGGCTTTCTGGTTATGGTCAAGTGAGGCTAACAAATCTCCTTGAAAAGCAGCTATACAACTGGACTAGATGAACAAAACCAACCATTTCAAAAGTCGGGAAATGTCCAAAGACATACAACAATCTAAGAAGCATTTATGATTGAAAAGCTGCAGAAAGGAACAACAGTAGTGCTCTTACCTAGAGCTGATCCCATCCCTTCCCGACCTCCCAATATTCAAGTCAATAGGTATGAAGGTTCTTTAAGACAGGCCAGGCCAGGAGGACTGGCAGCAAAATTACACAGCTGAAGGGAGCTGAGTTATTTTGGGGTGGAGAGTGATGTGATGGTGAACTACAAACTCAGTGGTGTGCAAGCAGGAAGGCCATGGGCTCCGCTGGTCTGTGGTTGTGGTCATGGCTGCAGCAAGCATATGCTTGGCTGAGGCTGTGTGCATGATTAGCAGAGACCCAAAAGAGCCCAAGGCAGCCAAAGACTCTTGGTCAATCCTGAGGCTTTGGACATATGCAGAGGAGATGTGAAAAGACTCAGGAGAGAGTACAAGCAGAGGAAAACTTGAAAATCTCTAAAATCTGAATATGCTATTCTATATACACCCAAAACATTTGTCAGAGAATAGAATTTTTTTATTTCCAGTATAATGTATACTGCTGTATTAATTTCAGGTGTACCAATAGTGATTCACCAATTCAATACATTACAATAAATATACTCTTAATCCCTTTCATCTATTCTACGCATCTACCCACCTACCTCCCCTCTGGTAAAAAGTTTGTTCTCTATAATTAAGAATCTTTTTTTTATCTTTTTTTTCTTTCTTTAATCCCACGAGTAAATGAAACCAAACCATATGCTATTTGTCTTTCTGACTGACTTATTTCACTTAACAGAGGATGAAGATCTTATCAAGGTGCTTGAGCACAATCTCCATCCAATCTTTGGCTACCACTAAACTATGCAGACACACAGGTGACCCTAGGGAGCTAGACTTAAAAATAAATTAAAAAAAGAAAAAACTGAGTACAGCCATCAACAATCATATACTGCAAGGGACACAATTTCACGGATTTAGCCTAAGCAATTTTTTAATTTAAAAAAATAACAATAGCCAAACTGTGGAAGGAGCCTCGGTGCCCATCGAAAGATGAATGGATAAAGAAGATGTGGTTTATGTATACAATGGAATATTACTCAGCCATTAGAAACGACAAATACCCACCATTTGCTTCAACGTGGATGGAACTGGAGGGTATTATGCTGAGTGAAGTAAGTCAATCGGAGAAGGACAAACAGTGTATGTTCTCACTTATTTGGGGAATATGAATAATAGTGAAGGGGAATATAAGGGAAGGGAGAATAAATGTGTGGGAGATATCAGAAAGGGACACAGAACATAAAGACTTCTAACTCTGGGAAATGAACTAGGGGTGGTGGAAGGGGAGGAGGGCGGGGGGTGGGGGGTGAATGGGTGACGGGCACGGAGGGGGACACTTGACGGGATGAGCACTGGGTGTTATTCTGTATGTTGGTAAATTGAACACCAATAAAAATTAATTTATTAAAAAAAAAAAAAAAAAAAATAACAATAAAAGCAAACTTTTGGGGAGAACAAAATTAGATTCTCGAGTTGCTACTATGTTTTTTCAACAAAATATTTTCAATTAAAAAAAAAAGGAAAGGCAAAGATTCAGAAACTGTGTCTATTCTCAGGGGGCGGGGAGGGAAATCCTGACAATTCAATGGAAACTGTCTGAGTGTGTCAGCAAAGTGTATTTTATTTAGCAAAGACTTCAAAGCAGCTATTATAAATATGTTCAAGAAAGTATAGAAAACCATGTTTAAAGAAGTAAAAGAAAGTATGACAATAATAAATGAACAAAGAGATATTCTAAAGGATGGGACAAATTATTAAAAAAAAAAGATTTTTTTTTAAGATTTTATTTATTTATTTATTTATTGCACAAAGAGAGGCAGAGACATAGGCAGAGGGAGAAGCAGGCTCCTTGCAGGGAGCCCGATGCAGGACTTGATCCCAGGACCCCAGGGTCACAACCTGAGCCAAAGGCAGATGTTCAGCCACTAAGCCACCCAAGCGTCCCAAAAAGATACTTTAAAAAGTAAAATGTGGGGGGTGCCTGTGGCTCAGTCAGTTAAGAGTCTGCCTTCAGCTCAGGTCATGATCCCAGGGTCCTGGGATCAAGCCCCTCATTCAGCTCCCTGCTCAACCTCTGCTTCTCCCTCTCCCTCTGCCTGATGCTCTCCCTGCTTGTGCGCTCTCTCTCTCTCTCTCTCTCTCATAAAATAGTAAAATATATATACATATTTTTAAAGTAAAACGTAGAATAGAAAAATATAGTACTTTAGATGAAACATTCTCTAGGAGTTTAAAAAAAATATTCAAATTGGCAGAAGAAATAATCTGTGAATCTGAAGATAGAGCTGTATAAGTTATCCAAGCTGAGTAACAGAGAGAAAAAGACTTAAGAAAAATTGAACAGAGCTCAAAGACAAATGAGATAGCATTAATGGCATAGGACTCCCAGATGGAACAGAAAGGGGAAAAAAAAAAAAAGAACAGGAGAAATGATTTGAAGAAACAACGTTTCAAACTCCCTTATGGCTAAAACACCCAATTTTGTTGAGAAATATTAATCTACAAATCTAGTAAAACAAATACGATTAGGATATACACAAATAGATTCACCTAACAATAAACCTGCTGAAAGCCATGAGTGCATGAAAATAAAAATATAACACATCAAATTTCATAAGAGGTTGCTAAAGCAATGCCTAGAAGAAAATTTATAGCTTTAAATGCCTACGTTAGGAAAGAAGAAAAATCTAAAATCAATCATAGAAAAGAAAGCAAGCTAAACTCACCCAAATAGAATACAGGAAATAAAAATTGGAACAGAAATAACTAAAGTAGAATAAAGAAAAACAAGAGAGGAAAAAAAAAAGAAAAAAGAAAAACAAGAGAGGAATATCAATGAAAACAAGTCAGTTTTTTAAAGTATCAACAGGTTTGATAAACCTCAACCTAGAGTTACAAAGAGAAAATGAAAGAAGACACAAATTACCAAAATCTAGAAGAAAAAAAAAAAACATCACTACCAATTCTATAGAAATTTAAAATGA